GTTTATTCTGTTCTCTGTGTCTTCCAGCTCAGGGGGCTGAATATCTTCAGGATAGCTAGTCTGACTGTTAAAGACTGAGGCAAAGAAGGCATTAAGTACTTCAGCCTTTTCCTCATCTTTGGTGGCATTGTTCCCAGCCGCATCCACTAAAGGATGGAGATTCTCTTTAACTCTCTTTTTGTTGTTAATGTACTAGTAAAAACTTTTTTTGTTACCTTTTAAGACAGTGGCCAGATTGATATTGAGCTGGCCTTTTGCTTTCCTAATTTTCTCTCTGCATGACCTGACAAGATCCCTGTTGTCTTCTTGTGTTGCCTGCACCTTCTTCCAAAAGTGATATTTTTTATTTATACTTATTTTTTCCTGTGTCTCCAGCAGACATCTGGTAAATTGAAGTCACTCACAAGAACAAGGGCTAGTGCTCGTTATACTTCTCATAGCTGGTGGTAGAATGCTTCATCTGCCTTTTCATCCTAGCTAGGTGGTCTATAACAGACTCCCAGCAGGATATCAGCCTTGTTAGTCTTCCTCCTCATCCTTACCCATAAGCACTTGACCTTGTAATCACAGTCGTCGAGCTCTACAGAATCAAAACGCTCCCTAACGTACAAAGCCAGCCCACCACCTCTCCTTCCTTGCTTCTCCCTTCTAAGGAGCTTGTGGCCATCCATTGCAGTGCTCCAGTTGTGAGAGTCATCCCACCATGGTTCTTCGATGGCAACTAAGTCAGAGCTATCCTGCTGCATGATGGTTTTCAGCTCTTCCTGTTTATTGCCCATACTGCATGCATTGGCGTAGATGCACTCGAGTTGAGTTATCGATTTCACCCCCAACACTGGCATGTCACCCCTCGGCTCATCTCTAGGGAGCCTTGTATTATCCCCTTCCCCCTTTGAACCTAGTTTAAAGCCCTGTCGGTGAGCACAGCCAACTCACGTGCAAGGATCCTTTTACCCCTTTCTCCAGAAAGCTCGGTGCTTCGTAAACATCCCCAAGTTCAAAAAAGCCAAAATTCCACTGATGGCACCATCCTCTGAGCAGGATGTGCACAGCAATGGTTTAGCAGCGTTTGAGCAGTGCTTGCTTTCTCAGTCTGACTCTGCAGTGAGGAGGCTGGTGGGGGGCCAAGGGGCTGGGAGAGGACACAGCCAGCACAGCTGACCCCAACTTACCAAGGGGATGGTCCTTACCCTGTACCTCCTTAGTCTGTAAGTATACTATGCCCTATGATATATAAAAGTGGAACTGTTTTGAATATATTGCCTTTATTTTCACATGTAAAATCTCATGCATGCAATAAAATTATTCACAATAAAAACTTCTGTACATTTCCATCATGTCAGATGGTACTTCTCCATAAACTATGTGAGTGCTATTCTGGGTGGCTGGGTCCCAAGAAGGGGAGTACTTCTGCTTTTTTCTTACCTTCTGGACTTGGTATTTCCACCCATGCAAAGTGCAACACAGGTGCTCCCCAGCCCACCACCGCTCTCTGAATAGGAGAGAGAAGTGCAGGGAAAGCTGCATGCATCTGCCCCTGTGCTCTGAGGGCTTTGGCTTTCAGACATTGACACCAACAGCCATGATTGCAGCTCCTAATTTTGCTTGTTTTGATGAGCTGGTGATGTTGACAACCTCAGGTACTCAGCATGGAGCAGATGCAGGTGCTTGTCATCTCTGTAGAAGTGTCACTGAGTGTCAACATCTCAAGCCAAGCATCTGAGAAACCTGGCAATTCCTGCTATGGGGGGGCTTTAACCTCTGTCTGGCAGTACTGGGGGTGTTGGGATAATCAGACCCCTTTCCAGTCATCTCCTACAACCGGTGAGTCTGCTGAGCTGGAGGTTAAACCCTGTTGTGTAACAAACAGGATAGATTACTTACAGGAAACGTGAAACTTAAATAGCAGATCACAAACTTTCAAGGAGAAGAAAACACAGGCAGCTTTGCAGTGTCTGTGACTAGGGTACCAACAAACTCTTCAGGCAGTTGTTGCTGCCAGATCCTAAATGGCTGGGTGGGAAGCAGACACTGTCCGGTTCTGTCACAGGAGCTTGCCAGCTGCCTTCTGCCTAAAGCACATGGTTTCTCCTAAACTGAAAGGAAACAACCCCTACTTTGCAGCACCGCTCCCATTTCCTTGCGCCACAGCCGGAGTCATGTCCTCAGCTTCCCTGGCTGGGGTCAGAGCCAGGAAAAGCTTGGCTGCTGTGTGCAGCCCAAAATATGGCGACTGTGCTCCTGGCTTGGGATTTCCCAGTGCCCTCTACCCCTTTGCCTGGCCGTGGTCGTGGCGAAGGCTGTCTCAGCAGTGCTGCTCCTTAGAAAATATTTATCCCCATTCAGCAGCAATCACACTTAAGAGCATTCACTTTCTTTGCAACATTAAACAAAACAAACCGTGGGAGAGGAAAAATAAATAAACCAAGAAATGAACCATCCTCTTCCCCTGGGGTGGGGAGGGGGTGAGTATCAGCAAAAATGTGATGGCTTTACAATTAAACTGCAATTTTTCCCACAGCAATACCCTTTCGAGGCCAAAAAAGTAGGCTTCTAGAGGTTCTTTTATTTTTTAATTGCTAGAGACTCCTGAGGTGTAGTACAGCTGTGTATATAACTCTATTTGAGATGTCAAAACTTGATGAGATCAGAAACTGCCCTGTGCTGCTCACAGCCAGATCAGCAACAGACAAAATGGACTCATTGCAACCCAAAACTGGACAAAGCAGATGAGTTTACGGTGCTTCTGTGGAAACATGTTTAAGAAAAGGCCGTGAATTCTGAAAAAGGAGAAACAAGGTGAGGGCAGGAGAAGCAAGAGATGTGGCCAGTGCAGTGGCATGAGGAGCAGCAGACCCTGTCAAGGACACTGCAGGGAGAGAGCTGCCTGAGCAGGGACAGAGGGAAGACACAGGGACACCCAAAGAGACAATGACTGGTGGAGGAGCCCACACTGGAGCAGTTGAGTAGGACAGAAGGAGAAGTGAGAGCAAAGGGATCCCCATGTGTTTCCCCCAGCTCCTGCACTACCCATGGTCTCACTAAAGGGCTTGGGTGTAACCTGCAGCACAGGGGTGGGAGACCAAAAGTCCCCTAGGGAAGCTGAGGTTCACTTGTGAAGTGCTGCAAACATAACACCAAAAGGGAGGAAAACAAAGGGCGAACAAGGGAGATGGAGAGGAAAAGACTAAGAAAGCTAAGAGGGAAGGCTCATCCTTGAGCAATGTGCATTGCTACCACCAGGCCAGAGGGCTGGGCTCACCACCACACTCCAGCTTCTCCCACAGCAACTCAGGGTGCACCAGGATCTGCAAGGAGAACATGACATCTACTGAGAGGAGGAAAAGTTGCAAGTGAGTAATTGTGCACGTTCACATCCTGACAGTAAAAACAGCTCTCCGTGCTCTGGACCTGCTCAAGCCCCTTTCCTTTGGCTAAAGCTGGTGCTGCTTCTACTTTTGGAGCTCGCTCCCTCCCAAGCCACTCATGTCAAGCACCCGATGTACGTTCTGCTCTTGGCTGAAAACTCAGTGCTTTTCCCACCAAGCTCCTCCCAGGCATTTTTGGTTCCCAAAGCCTGGGAACCACCAACTCCTGTGGTGCCATCCCTGCTCCTCCCTCTGTGTCTCTGTGCTGGGGCTGGGCTCCACTGACCGGCGTTTCCCTGGTTTGTGTTTGCCTTCAAAGAGGCAGCGGTCCCAGCAGTCCAGCCTGTGTGTGTCCCTCCAGGGGCTCTCCTGAAATCTGGGACATTTTTCTGAAGGTTTTGGGATGAAGGCTGTGCAGCTTGGTATCAGACCACTCTTTGTTTGCTGTGGTGGAAAGGGAGAGGGAGGAAAGAGGGGAGTTAGTTCTAGTGAAGTCATTTGAGGCATCTCTTGGCAGTGGTGGGATGCACCCCCACCAAGACTGGTGAATCTCTGTGAGGTTGCAGCTGCCACTTTCCTTCTGCCCCATGGTACTGGCCTGGTTTCGCTCACTGTGCTGCACATTTCTCCCTTGTGTCTGTTCCTTCCCTCCTCCAAACCATCCCAAACAATACGAGGTTTTGTCTGTGCCCGGCGTCCAGCAGCAGTTCCTCAAGCCCCTTAGCCCTTATTTTGTGTGTGCACCCTGGACTTAAGCAGAACATTCCTGCCAGACATTAAGCCCAGGCGCAGCACGGATAATCCAAGGGGTTTTTTGCCTCTGGTTCCAAGTAGCCGTGAAAATATTGTGCCCATGTGCACTCCCTGCAGCTCCACACTGGCCTTTCTCCTGCCTCCTATCTCTTTCTCCCTCCCAGGCAGGTAGGGCTTAGGGAGAGGACACAGATCTCAGCTGCAAGTTTAGGGTAGCAAAATGCCTGTTATTCCAGCCTGGGTGTCCTGCACCTTTTTATCTCCTGTGTTAAAATGACATGGCTTGCCAGGGCACTGTGACCACGGATGCTGTGCGCACACTGCCTTCACTGTCCCCCGCAATGGTTTTGTTCTAGGCTGGTGATGCCCTTCCACCTGCCTGGTATCAAGCCCCTGTTAAACCAGAGGGCTGTGGGGAAAGCAGTGACTGGGGCCTGGAGAGAGCTGCCAGAGCTGGAAACGAGATCTTTGGACAGAAGAAGCTGGGAAGAGGGGACGGCGAGGCACCACGGTGCCCACAGCACAACAGTGCTGTCAGGAGCTATCCAGGAAAGGTAGTGCTCAGGCAAGGACCGCCCTCAGGAAAGAGAAACCAAGCACTGGCAGGGGCAAGAGAGGAGGGAAGCTGATCTTTTTCTTCCCCACTGAAAACCCCCTTTTTTCTCTTTTCTCCTCAGACAGTGAAATCTTTGCTCTGGCACCTGACAGCATGGTAGAGCGCTAGTCCTCCCTCCTCATGTGGTTGGTTTCTTTCCTGATTAGAAGTGATTAGGCAGCCCTAAAGCCTGCAGAAATGTGACCGAGGGGAACAGAGACAATGAGTCCTTTCAAGATCTCTTAAATCCCCGGGGCAGTATTTAGAGAGCCCTGAGGAGAGAACCGGAGCAGAACCGCCCCACCAGGACTTCCCTGTCCTTCTCCTTCCTGCTGTGCCCTTTGTTGCTGCCAAATCCTCCACCATGTCGTTCTCCGAAGCTGAGGTGCAAAGTGCCCGTGGTGCCTGGGAGAAGATGTTTGTGGATGCTGAGGACAACGGGACAACCGTGCTGGTCAGGTAAGAGCCCATCCTGCTGCTACCTCAGAGGCTTGAAGGAGGAATGTGAAGAAGGATGGAGTTACCACGGGGATCATGTCTTGATGTGTTTCATGCAGACCTTGCTGGGAACATTTTGGTTTGCTGTGCTTTAGGCCCACTTCAGGGAGGAAACAAGGATGAGGAGAGATCCACACAAGTAAAAGGAAAGGGGTGTGGGTATGGGAAATCAAGAAGAGATAAGAACCATTTCTTTACCCATTTAAGGTAAAGAAAGTGTGGTATGAAAGAAAATGGGAGCAAAACATGAGCCCTATTTCTCTCTTCCTATTTACTTCTGAAGTCCTTTAATTAGTTTTTATTTTTTTAACTTGCAAGCTCTCAGTATTTCTATTCTGATTCTCCTTCAGCCTTTCCAGTCTGGAGCCCATCTGTTTAATCGTATCGCACCCTTCCTGTGGGCTTTCCTCTTTTAGTTTTCACTCTGTTTTCCTCTCTTCTCCTGTAAGGCAGAATTTTCTTTTTTTCACCTTTCACATATCCCTCTCTCAGCTGGGACTTACATCACCTCTGTATGCACTGATCAGTCCATATTTCTAGTTGTCATACCTTTACCACTCCCTCTGGCTTTCTTGTGTATCACATCTTGTGCCTGGATCAGCCTCGAAAAGTGCTATGCACTGCTCTTTCTCTCTGCAGTCTGCACAACCTGAGGACACTTGGGGTCAGAAATGTGGCTATAAAATGTCAGTAACATCCAGTGTCTTGCCTCCCTGGGGTAATTTACCTTAGAAAGTTTGCCTTAGTGTCCTACAAACCCAGCCCTGCCTTCAGACAAGTTCTGGGCTCCCCAGTACAAGAGACAGAGTCCAACAAACGGCCACAGAGATGATAAAGATAAAGGGGCTGGAGCATCTCCTCTATACAGAGAGGCTGGGAGAGCTGGGACTGTTCAGCCTGCAGAAGAGAAGGCTCAGGACGGTCTTATCAATGTATGTAAAAACCTGAAGGGAGAGTGCAAAGAAGACAGAGCCAAGCTCTTCTCAGTGGTGCTCGGTGACAGGACCAGAGGCAGTGGGGCCAAACTGAAATACAGGAGGTTCCTTCTTATCATCAGGAAACACTTTTGTATTGTGAGGGTGACTGAGCACTGGCACAGGTTGCCCAGAGAGGCGACAGAGTCTTCGTCCTTGGAGATATTCAAAGGCCACGTGGACATGGTCCTGGGCAACCTGCTATGGGTGACCCAGCTTGAGCAGGGGTTTGGACCAGATGACCTCCAGAGGCCCCTTCAACCGCAACTGTTCTATGATGCTGTGAAATGCAATCTGGACTTTGCTATTGCTATTTCAGGTGGATAACAGGTTTACCCAATAGAGTAAACTGCTTCTTTAAGAGCTTGACCAAGATGACTGTAATCGATGTATGTTAAAAGCAGTTCCTTTACAAGTGCCGTTGAACTGTGTTAATTTTGAATGAAAGAAATGAGCAGTACCTGGCACTCAAACAAGAAGCCACCACAGGCAGTAAGAAAGCTTTGGGATGGATTCTAGGAAGGGGTTAATTAACAAAACCAACAGTAGGGTTGCTCCATGAAAACACCCACTGAGAGCACAGTGGAAGTATCTGCTGTCCAGAACATCTTTGGGAATATCGTGCTGTCACATAGCCTATAGGAACACGCTCCCACTTCTCTCTGGATTTTTATCTCCACCTATCACTGAATCATCATTGAGGAAGTGTTTAATTTAGAAGCAGTGGAATAAATTCAGGATAGGTAGGTTTTTAAGGTGGAGTGAGCAAAGGGAATTGCTCCAGTGAGGGGACAGTCTGCTATGGGCACAGGGGGTGCGCACAGGTGGGAAGGGCAAGGGAGAGCCAAGAAATGCAGGGGAAAGAGGTGTCTGTTCTAATAAAGAGAAGGAAAAAGGGCAATAAATGCATAAGACAAGGCCTGGAATGTGAAGCCATGTCTGCATCAATGTGCCAGTCTGCAAACTAGGACATCTCTCATTTCTCAACAGGATGTTTACCGAGCACCCAGACACCAAGTCCTACTTCACACACTTCAAAGGCATGGACTCCGCTGAAGAGATGAAGCAGTCGGACCAGGTCAGGGGGCACGGCAAGAAGGTTTTCACCGCCATCAACGACATGGTGCAGCACCTGGACAACTCTGAGGCTTTTCTTGGGATAGTGAACCCACTCGGCAAGAAACATGCCACCCAGCTGAAGATTGACCCCAAAAACTTCAGGGTGAGCCAGTAGCCATCTTCCCAGTGGCTGTAACTGTGATGGAAGGATGTCTTCTTCTTGGAGGGGTAGAACTGAGCACAACAGGCTTTGTATATGTAAATATATATATGTACACATATATGCTTCAGAGAGTGGAGATGGTGGAAGCTGAGATGGTCGGTGGTGGAAGATAGCAGGAACGAGAGATCTGGCATCTGTTGGGAAGAAGGCGACTGAGCAGCAGAAGCAATGCGGGCAGGACTGCTTGGGTGGGAGCTGCAGAGCTGCCCACTAGTTGTAGCAGGTTTTCTCAGTGAAACAGGATTCCCACACGCTTGTCATTTAGCAACAAGACACAGAAAAGCAGCTTAACACTGGACCTCAGTCCATGACGTCTATTTTTCTCTAGTAACAGGAACTGAGCTTTTCCAGGGCAACTAAAGCAGCTGCTATTGAGCAGTAACAGCAACAGCATTGCCATCGCTGAACAAACACAGATAATAAACACAGGATCAAATGACTTGCCCAAGTTCACCTAAGATCATTAGCAGAGTGCATTTGTAACTATTCTGTCTGCCTTACACAGCACAAAATGCAAAAGGAGGCACCTTCTGGCACAGGGCACTCAGGCACTGGGAGGGTGGTTTCCAAAGCAGCAGGCCCAATTTTCAGTAAGTGGGAGAATGAGTGGGCATTTCTGCCTGGGGAGACCCTGAAAAGGTCTTTTCCAGGTAAAAAAAAAAAGACTTTTTCAGGGTGAAGATGCACACAAAATGAGAAATGCTGCATAGAAAAGGAGCTGATATTTCAAACTGTACCTACCTAAAGACTGTAAAGACATACAAACCCTCCCTGCTACATCTATTCCATAGATGTCCAGCACTAGGCTCCTTGTGGCCTCTAGACATTTGAGAGAGTCCCCTGCCAAGAGAAGGATTGCAGCAGACAGACTGAGTGCCCTGGTCATGTACCACTGTCTTTAAGTGATGGGTACAGTCAACATTAACTAGACATGAGATAGTTGAAAAAACAGCAGTAGCTGCATTTTTTGGTGAATTCTGTAATGCACCTAATTTTCCATGACCTATTACAAGCTCTGTGCTATATGCTGCTGAATTGTTGTACCCCCTTTCTACCCTCCAAGAATCCCAACTAAATAAATATATATATTGTTCTTATGTCTCTAATGTGGAGGAAAGTTCACACTGACTGTCACTTCCCTTCTTCATGTTTAGATTATCTGTGACATTATCTTGCAACTGATGGAGGAAAAATTTGGTGGAGACTGCAAAGCTTCCTTTGAGAAGGTGACGAATGAAATCTGCACTCACCTGAACAACGTCTACAAAGAGGAGGGCTGGTGAGGATGTGCAACCTCCAGGCTCTTCAAACATCTTGCCAGCACTGATTTGCTGCTTTTGGGCCTCCACCCACAGTCGGAAGAATGAAAAAGTTTTTTTTTAAAAAAAAGGCAAGAAAAAGGCTTATATAATATAGATATTAATGTCAATAATTTCCTTAGCAAACTGAGTTTCTACCGTTAAATGAAACCTGCAGATACATCAAAGCCAACCAACAAATCCTGACGTGCTTTGCAGTTTCAGTGCTCCAGGTGGGTTCCTCTGGCCACAGTCCTTGAGGACTACATTTTAAGACGATAACTTGCTATTCCTGAGAGAAAGACTTGCTCCTTTCAGCCGCACCAGCCCAGAGAGGCACCAGCAGCTTTTTATCTCAGCAAACACCTCTCCATTCTTGTGAATGATTGGAGACCATTTCGAAGCATCTCCGGTTGCTTTGTAGAGGTCATTATTTAAGAGACATGGGCATTGTTTCGTGTTTGAACTAAAACAGTGGGGGGAGTGGTGCATGGGAAAGACTAAAGTCCCATCCTGGTGAGCCAGTGGAGTTCTCCAGCCTGGGGAGAGGTTCCTCGGAGCAACTTTCAGCACAAGGGATGGCAATGCTGAATGTGGTCACCACTGGGTCCCTCTGGCCAGGGATGTACATCTCCAGCACATGGATATCACGGTGCTGCTCCAGCAAATCGCTCTGGCCACACACATGGGAGAGGGCAGTGGCACTGAAGCTCCTCAGCTCCTGTGCTGCTCAAAATGCACCCACATGGAGGTGGGGGGGTTGCTGCCCTGCTGAGTGGGCGCCGTGGTGGGCTCAGCTCAGCATGGGATTTCTATGGCGCTGCCCTCATCCTGGCCTGAGCCGCCTCCCTTCAGTGGTAACCAAGTCCTGAGCTATGTAATTGCTTTTCCTTCTATTCCGTAGATGTGGTGAAATCATCAGCTGATAACTGCAAATAACCGTGTGCCATTTTGCTTCAGTGTAACGCAATAAACACAGAGAAAGCAGATGCGTCCTCTCATTTGTAGCACGGAAATGGCAATGCGCAGGGCCGATAGCTGGTTACAATACATGGTTACTGGTGGCACTGGGGGGGGTTTACCAAAACCAGCTCAAGCTTCCACCCAGGTGCCCATCGCACTTGCAGTAATCAGGCTTCTCGGGTGGTGAGAAGGGAAGCTTTTTGACCACAAACCAACAATTCAGTAAACAGCTAAAAATGCAGAATTCTCCTCCATTCAATGTGTAGTTTTCCTCACCCATCCCATTTGTTTGGCAAAAGATGCTGAAATCCCAAAGTCTGGAATACAAACTCTTGCCATAGAGGGAGGATGGGGCAGGCTGGATTCGGTGTTTTATTCAGCTCGAGAAGAAGGGGAAGTGTATTGCACAGTGCCGCCAAGTATTGTGAGAAAAGAACAAGACTTGTAAAAAAATTAGAGTCTCAAATTTCTTCAAGGGAGTACAAGTAGTTAACATTCTGAAAAGCTTAAAATAATTTTAAAATAATTTCAATTTTTATTTACTTGCTTTAATACATGTTGAGAGTGCTATTTGCCATGATGATGGTAGCTGTAGTGACCTGCTCATCATTGCTGTGGACACTCTGGGCTAACAGGGGCCTGACAATGCTGGCTGATGGTTGAAGGCTCTTGTGATCCCTGCTCCTGTGATGGAGAGAAGTGTGGGAAACAAATGAAACTCAAGCTTAAGTAAAGAGAGAGTTATTTTAAAATGCATTTACAAAGGAGGGACACATTAAATTTAAAAAATGTGTATGATGTGAGCGGTTTAGGGGTTCACGGCGTTTTATTTTTTTGTTTAGCTGAGATTTCAAAGGACCGCAGGAAGCTTTCCCAACAGAGGGCCCTTGCTTCAACCGTTGTGTTAATTCATAAGTAAGTGTCCCCATGATACATTAGGGAAGATGGGAACACCAATCAAAGACATTATCTTCCCTGAGTGTTCTGGAAAGTGAGTACAAATCCAGCACTCGCTCAGATTGGCCGTTCTGGAAAGTTCTCTCGTAATGCTAACATGGACACTGGGTTCCCAGAAGATTTCCAAACTGTCTCTGTTGCCCACATTAGTATCTGTATTTTCATTACCATACATCCAAATTTATCAACCGTCACATGACTGTACAATACACAATAGTTTTCCAAGATATCTAAAATATTTCTGAAGACTAAAGCAGCTATCTACCCACAGTCTAAGCTATTGCCTGGGCTAGTTATTTTTCATTTCACTTTGTTTCCTGATTTTAATTTTCTCTGGGGAAATTTGCCCTGCCACCCAGGAAGCAGAAGCTGTCTTTACCCTAGAGTAATGAATCCAAGGCCCCTTTTCTGGTATCTTAATATCAGTATAAGTGGTCAAAAGTATCTGGAAAGGACCCTTCCACTTTGCTTTATGGTTCTTCCTTCCAGGTTTTGACATAAACCCAATTTCCAGGTTTAAACGGATGAGCTGGAGTATCTACTCCTTTGGGTCGATGTAGAACTACTCACTGATGCAGGTGTTGTAGAGTCCTTCCCAGCATCAGCAAATATTCTCATAGACCATTTTTTCCCTGCAGGAACAAAGGGTAAATGACAGGGTCGTCCATACATCAGTTCATATGGATGAATACGATCTCATACCTCTCCAAGTAATGCCTGGAGCCACGTCAATGAAGTTTCTTGGCAAATTTTTCCTAATAGTAACCTGAGGGTCTGATTCAGTCATTCTACCTTTCCACTTGCTTGCGGTCTATATGGTTGTTGTGGTTTAGGGCTGGGCCAGCCTTGTCATACTGTAGGGCTGGCCTGGCCACTAAATCCTGGACAGATGTGCTCTATTAACCACTATCCCCTCCCCAGAAGGGAAGACAAAGAGAGTAAGGGAGAGAGACTTTACAAGTTGGAAAATAAAACTAACAGATTTAATGAAAACAGTACTAATACTACAGGATAATAATGTAAATAGGAAAATAAAATACGTACAGATATGTACAAATATATATAAATATATATATATAAAGAACCAATATAAAATCCTCCCCCTACCCCCTCAGTGATGATTACATCACCAGAGGCTCTGTAGAATAGGGCCCTGGAAAAGTCCCAGTCCAGACTCAGCAGAAGGTGGGAGCAGGATGCAGGGGTTGGATTCAGGAACACACGGATCAGGATCAGAGGCAGACAAACTGGCAGGGTCCTGCTTGAACTTTGACCATCACAGACAAAGGGAGAAGGCAAGAGGGAAGAAGGCCTGAGACCCTCATGGTCCCTCAGCTTTATAGCGAGTATGACGTATGTGGGATGGAATACCTAGTTGGTCAGTTTTGGGCCCACTCCTCCCTGCAGATGCAGATAGGGCATCCATGGTGAGACAGCGGCCTTGTCATATTTACATAACATACAAGCACTATCACTTGTAGAGGCGAACACTGTCTGGTTAGTTTCAGCAAGCACAGCCACTTAGAAGAGACTGAGCTGAAAAGCAAAATCACTAAACAGAAAATTAGTTCTATTTAGCTCAAATCAGGACATTTCACCCCTTATTCCATACCACTTTTGGCATACTCAGGTCACTACTGTGTACGCAAAAGTTCATTAAGTCCATTTAGTTCATGGTTGTAGGCTTGCATCTATCATAGCAGTCTGTCCAAGCAGAAAAGATGGTAGAACATTTGTCGTGGTTTGTGCCCACAGGTTGCAGGTCCACCTCGAAATGTTTACTGGATGCCACTTGATGAAAGTCGGTGTGGCCATCTTCACTACATTATCCTGAAAGACACTCAATGAACGCTGTTAGCATTATGTAGGAATTAACAACATCCACCCTGAAATTGAGTATTCTCACCCAGAATTAAATTCCCTTGAGGTACACATTGTACTTTACCATCCTTCAGCATCACCCACCAAGTACATCCAGGTCCTTGAGCAAAAGCAATCCCACGATTGGGTTTGCCTTTGTCCATAGCAGGATGAAAGACACTCAATGAACGCTGTTAGCATTATGTAGGAATTAACAACATCCACCCTGAAATTGAGTATTCTCACCCAGAATTAAATTCCCTTGAGGTACACATTGTACTTTACCATCCTTCAGCATCACCCACCAAGTACATCCAGGTCCTTGAGCAAAAGCAATCCCACGATTGGGTTTGCCTTTGTCCATAGCAGGATGTCGTGGTGTAGGGCTGGGCTGGCCACTAAATCCTGGACAGACGCTCTCTAAGGGAGAGAGACTTTACGAGTTGGAAAATAAAACTAACAGATTTAATAAAACAATACTACTACTACAGGATAATAATGTAAATATGGAAAATCACAGAATCACAGAACGTTAGGGATTGGAAGGGACCTCAAAAGATCATCCAGTCCAATCCCCCTGCCGGAGCAGGAACACCTAGATGAGGTTACACAGGAAGGCGTCCAGGTGGGTTTTGAATGTCTCCAGAGAAGGAGACTCCACAACCTCTCTGGGCAGCCTGTTCCAGTGCTCTGTTACCCTCACTGAGAAGTTTCTTCTCAAATTTAAGTGGAACCTCCTGTGTTCCAGTTTGTGTCCGTTACCCCTTGTCTTATCATTGTTTGTCACCGAGAAGAGCCTGGCTCCACCCTCGTGAATATCCTCGAAAATAATGGAATATATACAAATATATATATAAAACCAATATAAAACCCTCCCCCCACCCCACCAATGACTATTATGTCACCAGAAGCTCTGCAGAACAGGACACTGGAAAAGTCCCAGTCCGGACCCAGCAGCAGGTAGGAGCACGATACAGGAGCTGGATTCAGGAACACATAGACCAGGATGGGAGGCAGATGAACTAGCAAGGTTCTGCTCAGGCTTAGGCCATTGCAGAAGACGAGCAAGAGCAGGCAGGAAGGGAGCTGAGAAGGGTCGAGACCCTTGCGATCCCTCAGCTTTATACAGAGTATGACATATGTGGGATGCAGTATCTAGTTGGTCAGTTTGGGATGATCTGTCCTGTCCGCTCCTCCCCTCAAGTGCAAATAAAGCACCCATGGTGTGACAGTGGCTTTGCCATGTTTATATAATATACAAGCATTAGCACTTGTAGAAGTGAACGCTGTCTGCAA